AAACCTTCGCTGTCCGAGTGAGCCATGGTTTCAGGAGAGCATGAGATAAGGGAACTAGCTACTCCACTTATTTCTTCTTCTCAGCCTGCTGGTTCACTCCAGCAGTTCCCCTATTTTGGAAAACTACCATAACTAGAACTTTGAAGCCCTACTCCGTGCCTCAGGCAGTCAACACGACAGGATAGCAGAAAAAACATGCCCCTTTCAATGGCTAGCCTGCTGGGCATGATTATTCAGATGGCAGCTCTTCATCAACGCGAGCCCAACATATTCCCGAAAACCCACCTTGTAGTTTCCCCAAAGTAGGGGTACATTTTTGGCGGTCCCCATAATAAATGATAAAGATTATAGTATTTGGGGGTCTATACTGGGGTCCCCCCTATCTTGGGAACCTACCGCCACAGTTCCTTTGTAATCGCTCTCCGTGCTTCCCAAAGACGGTACCATCACGAGACATCCCATAGCAGTCAGGGATATCCGCTGAGGACTGGAATGATGCGCATAACGTGGCGCAGATCATTCAGGGCACCGACGCTTGGAAGCTCCATGATTTACTGTTTCCTGCAACCCTGAAACTTGAGTAGCAAAGCTTAGGAGCTTGGATACAGAAACGGAATGAGAAGTCGATGAACCCTGACCTTTGCATCAAAAGCCAAATCCGGTTCAGAAACGTTGTGGCTCCACCACTCATGAAAGCAGTTCTCTGTGCCTTCTAGCGGTACCATAGGAGGGCCCAGGCAGCCGCCAACAGTCCCCCAACAATGAGGGTGCACGAAACGGGCACCCTCAGCCGAAATGAGCTATAGTCTAAACTCTCTCATAACCCTTGCAATACTCTCCTGTGTATATAACCCCCTATATACCCCCATTTAAGGGGTCTAGACCTTAAACCCTAATCCCTATATAACACCCTTTAATTTGAGGACTTCCGACTACAGCCCATACTCCCCAATGTATATAATCCCCTATATAACCCCAACCCTCCCTTTAATTAAAGGACTTGGGACTACATTTAAATAGAGTTCAGAGCTAGGCCTTCATTGTGCTGGCCATGTGGTTGATCTTCGCCAACAACGCCAAGGTTTCGCCCTCCAAGACTTGGTTTAGGGTTTAGGGTATGCATAAGGGTATAGTCCCCCTTAAGTAGATAGAATATGGGGTATATATGGGATCTTCTTATAATGTATCCAAAGCCATATTCTATCTACTTAAGGGGACTATATCTTTTTGGGGGGTTATATGCGTGGGGGATATATAGGACTTGTATAGGGTTTATGGTTTAGGGGCTAGGGTTTACGGTTTCCCAAAATGAGGGTTACTTTTTGTGGGGATCCCAAAAACAACGATTCTGGCTTTTGGGGGTCTATATAGGAGTCCCCCCTATTAAGGGAATCTACCAAAGCTCCAGCCTAGCAGTTAGAGTTGAAGGTTCTTTTGGCAGAAGGGCCAGAAGGAAAGATCCTTCTCTCAGCAACACCTGAAGGATCCATGTGATGTATGTAGGTGGTTGTCAAAATTATGGTCCCTTTCCGGGTACCCTAAGTATTAGGTGCCATGTTATAATACGGATCCCAAAAGAGACCATAATTTTTACAACTACGTAGCTCCGCAATCACGCCACGTAAAGAGTCCAAATTATCTTATGGAATAAGGTAATGGTAGTAATGGCAATGTGCTTTATGGCCAAGGGGTCAGTGACCTGCACCCATTAAGGTAGTTTGCACTTTTTCCATTATCCCTATATAAGTCCTCTGTAACACCCCACCCCCCCTATTACCAGCCTGCGAGTGGTCAGCCTATCATTTGGGAGACTCTGATGTTCAGCTTCGGTGGCACCGTTCACACCATCACAAGACATGTTAAGCGCCGCGCACATCCTCAGATCCTTGTGGAGCCATGAAAATGAGGGCGCAAGGGGGTGCAGGGGCTCTTGGGAAATCCCAAGAACCTGAACCGTTGACCTTGCCTTACACTCCCCCCAACTTAACATGGAACCTGCAGATTTGAAGTTCCATGCCCAGTTCGGGGGAAGGGTAGCCCCATGAAGGTGGCAGTCGCCCAAAAGGCGCCGCTGGAACAGCGCCATGCCGTTTGCGCCACACTCAGCACTGCGGTGTGCCTCTTCTCTGGCTTCTTCAATATCCTGCAGCTACCCAGCGGGAATTGTTCTTGACGACCTAAAAGGATTTTGAGGATCATTGAGCAATTTCCGGCATTCGTAGATTTTGCCAAGGGTCCTGTGGCCAAAATTTCAGCGCCTGCCGGGGTTCTTGCGATTTGTTGAGTGTGTGACAAACACAGGCAGCCAGGTAGGCTGCGCACTCATGAAAATGTGGTCCTTGAAGGCTAGATCAAAGAGTTCTTGGAATGGGCGGCAAGCCCTAAACCCTAGTTGGATGGTCAAGCGAACTTCGTACGTCTGCTTCTAACCCCTATGAGCCATGTGATAACCCTAGCTACCCCCAGTATTGACCTACTTACCAAGTCACTGTGACCCTCCCAATGAGCCTTGTGACTGGATCTGCAGGCACAAACAAAACAAAAGAAGGAAGCTCCGGTGGACAATTTTGACGGAATGAGGTGCAAATGTATGTGCTTTAAACTCTTGTTCAGGTACCCTATCAGAAGCTATCGTATACTATAATATACGTTAAAATACTACAATATAATATAACCTACTATAATATTCTATGATATACCATAATAGACTACAATATACTATAATATATCATAACATCAGCGAGTATATAAAACTCATCAGGCGGGCTTCCTTGGACCGTGCTGTTTGTGGGGTCCAGTTGTTTGTTCCATGATTCTTAGGCAAATTCCCACCCAAAAGCGCCAAGCTTGCAGCCTAATTTCGAAGCTCAGCCACGCAGGAGGGAAAGAATCCAAAGCTCATTAATGATTCATAATGTCGAAAAATGTCTATATGTCCAAACCTCTCAACCGTAAACTCTCAAATAGAACCCCTTGGACCCTCAGCCCCGAAGAAGAAGGAACTCGGCTCAGGCTCACTGGCATCGACGATTTCGAGATCCCAGGCTACACCGGAGGCTTTGTGCTTCAGCTCGCTCGCCCTGTGGAGTGGGTCCTGACGCGCCCTGGCCAACTCTTTTCAAACAGCTGCGCGAATTCGTAAAGGGTTCAGCGCCTAAGGTAGACGTCATGCGGGAAGGAGCCACTAAACTGAGTAGGTTCGAGCCACTGCAAACATCGAGAGCAACCCTTTGCTTTTGCCTTCGCACCACATCCGTACAAGCATTCTCATGTATTCCAAAAATGCTTCCTTGCCATTCCTGGGCTGTTTGCAGATTATCGATACAGCCCATCAAGTCCTTATGAAACGTCTGTACATACCTTTCAGAACACCCATGCATCACACACACACACACCCACACACAGAAAGCTTGAATGTCCTTCACCGCACGCTTTTTGCATTGCTGCGGTCAACCCTTTGCACGTTTTCTGGAAGAAGCGTGTTCCAGCGGGTCGGCAATACTGGTATCGCGCACATACACTGGCACAATCCTTGCAGATCAGCGTCGCCTGCCGACACCATTTTTCAGTGCCCCTACTTGCGACCCAACATTCTGTGTGCATGAAGCTTCACATAGCATGATACGTATAGAAACCTTACTGAGCGCAATTGCTGCGGCTCCAAGCCTCAAGCTTTTCAAATTGCACCTATAGAATCTATAGTCCCCCTTAGGTAGATAGAGTATGGGGTATATGGGGATCTCATTATTCTATCTACTTAAGGGGGACTATACTCCCATACTATCCCTGGGGTCTCTGAGGGCATCCTGATTTGAGAAATCCATACGTGGCAAGCTCAGGTGCCCCATCTTGCAGCTGAAGCTGGCTGCGCGGCTGATACTATAAGAATTGCTTGCTATATAACCCCTATATACCCCCAATATCACTTTCGTTTGGGGTTTTCGGTTGAATGTGAGGGGTCAGCATTGCGGGTTTGGGTAGGGCTTCTCGTGGCAAACTTCTAAGTACAGGAACTGCTCACAACAGCAATCATCCCCCCACCTGCCTAAACCATCCATTTAGGGTTTATATACGGGTTATTTAGGGAATTTATCGGGGTTGTTATATTGAAATAATGGAAAACAAAATGGATGGCCTGTTACCGTTTTTAGATATGTATGCAATATGACTCCTCAAGTCCAGGTTTTTGGGAGGTTCACGTAAACACGAAATCCCTACACTTTCGTAAGCGGACCGCCCCGTCTTGGCGATGGATCCTGCAAAGGTTGTGCTTGCGGGAGCACGGGTACCTTCCTACAGCCACTTTGAGCAATTTTTGGCGTGCTAGAGGGTGGTTTCTCAAAATCCAGGAGCCCTTTTGGGGTAATGTTGCGAGTAGGATCTTAGGATCTTTGAGGGTTTAGTTACGGGTGCAAGGTTTCCAACCAAGGATGAGGCAGGCACAGGGGGCCAGCCAGTTATGGGGCGTTGTGGGATTGTAGTCAGTGGTTGCGGTTGGTTTCAGCAGTGTTTTCATGTTGGCTCTGCGCAAAGCCTTGGGATCTAAGCTTCAGATTAACCACTACCCCCCCCCCCTATGATATATCTGTCTCTCTTTCTCTCTCTTTCTGTCTCCTCGCTGTAAACCTAAACCCTAAGGACGTTTCATGATGCCATTGCTGTCAGCAGCTGTTCTTTTGTGCGGCGTTGCAGCAACCTTCACGGAAGGAGGACAGACCCCAGTCACTTCGGGGGACCCTGGAGTTACTAATGGGTTATTAGGTCAATTTCAAAAAAGGCTGTTGAGGGTATATATATATATATATGTATATACAATATATATATATATGTATATACATAGGGATGGTTATTAGGAGCCTGCAACAGGAGCTATACTCGGATATATGAGGATTTGGGGTGTAGGGTTTGGAGTTACTAATGGGTCAGGGAAACCTTATATTAGATTACTATTGGATTACGGCAGGGTTAGAATGGTTTATACGAAGGGGCTACAACATGTTGCCCAACTCAATGTGCCACTGAGTTGATGAAATCGGTGGTTCAAGAATTCATCATCTGCAAAACGGCTTGACATGGCTTCCCGCACAATGGCTGAACCAAAGTAGGCATCCTGCGTCTAGTTGAGCCGAACCTGTGTCCATGAGAACACAGTACATGCTGCAGCCGTAGCAGTAGTACGAGCATCCACAATAATTGCCCAGAGCTTCATAAGGCTAATATAACATAATCTGTAACACACCTACGCAGCATGAGGAATGAAATCACCGTGCTGTGAGACGGTAGTTCGCTTTTTTAGGGAAGGGCAACTACATAGTGGGAAAGATCGTATAAGTCCTCTCACCATTGCAGGCTCGCCATAAATGGCGGCTATAAGAATTTCCAGCCTTTGCAGATTGCAAGCCCTCCCCTCTACTGATCAATGTTAGGGATCCTTTATACTTTGTGGGGTATGGGATTCCTTATATTTATGTAAAAAGGATTTTTTTCTCCCCATGGTAAAGGGGGCTAAGAAGTCTAGAAGAGGAGGTCACAACTAAGCCAGCCTCATGGGACCAGGAGCACCTTGACTCTATAGGGATAATGGAAAAGAAGATGGAAACTACAGGGAATATAGGGATTATATAGGAGTTTTATAGGGATTATAGGGATTATATAGGAGTTTGGGATTATATAGGAGTTTTATAGGGATTATAGGGTATATATTGGCCTAGTTGGGCAGGATTGCGATTCATATGGTTTGGCTTCGGCATGATCTTCGTCTTCGTCATGTTTTACCACAATGCCTTGCAAATCAAGGAGCTGCTTGGCTGAATGAAGTTCCTTACATTCAGCTGTCCAGCCATCATGCAGATGAAGCATCACCTGTTGTAATATATGCCCATGTATATATATATATATAGACCATGTTGCAGAATCTAACGGAAACATAGCATTGAATGGCGACTCGTATGTATTTGTTTGTGGTTAGAGGCTAAGGCTTGCGCAATATGTTGCTAAAGCTGCAGTGGACCTTACGTTGATACATGCCTAGCTCTGAACAACTTCGTGGCACGACCCCAAACCCTGAACCCTAAACATAGACGGCGTAGAAGTAAGGCAAGGTCATGCCTGAGTTAGCCCAGGGTTTGGGGTTGAGGTTTGATGCAGTTACTGGTTTTGCCCATGCTTTTTGGGGGAGTGGGGCGGTGGATCATCATACTAATCCCTGTATAATCCCCTATCATAGTCTGTATATTCAACCCAAACCCTCCACCCTAGTATATTCACTCACTGCTCCCCCTTCCTACTAAGTTATCTGAGGAACAGCGAGGGGGAGGAAAGCTTGCTACATGGCGAGTCTGACTACCGCAACCTGCCTGCATTGCGGAGACTTCACAGCTCGGCGGCTGAGACCCCCAGAAGAATAACAATAGTTACTACATGATAACAGTTAACAGTAATAACGGTACATGAAGGCGAAAAAGTAAACAGCCAACAGCAGCAACACTAATAGTAGTAACAAGGATGATAGTGGCAATGGCGATAGTACTCGTAGTAGTAATAGAATGGAAGGCGCAAGGCATGCTTTGAGGCCGTTGCCTAATTCGGGCCCAACCTTCATTCTGACTACGGGAGCCTTTATTTCCGTAGCTTAACATTGACACCGTAGCAACTGGGTGTTCCTGAAACTAGCGACCCTCATGATAAGCGTGATGTTCTATTGGGATCTATAGCGGGGCCTTCATCTACAGAATCTATACCGTTGAGGAGCATGACACCTTCGTGACACCCATTCATCTCCTATAGCGTCATGGTCATAAGGCAGCAGGTCCTCAACATCTAGAAAGCCCTGATTAGAGGGCTCAGTGCATCGTGGTAGATGTGGATAGGATACGCATGACCTTATTCCTCCAAAACATCTGCCGCCCCAGCCCCGTATCTGATTCCATATAAGGTCCAGGGCTTGAGGTATAAGGCCTCAACGTTTTCACCAATTTTTGCAACGGGACCTCCGGAATCCAGAACAAGCGCACAAGACTGGGGCCCCATGGTTCCAACTTCCAGCGTGTATAGATTGAAAATCGCCGGGCTGAGTTCAGCGTCGCGAGGTCTCAACTAGGTCTCAACCCTGAACCGTTATCTGGTACTCAGAGCTCAAGTTTCAAAGTAGCCTCCCGCAAGCATCTCGTAACAGGAAGTTCTAAATGTCTCAGAAACTGCACTTGTCCACAACTGAAACCCTGAACCCTACACCCGAACCCGCAGATCCCACGCCATTGACCCCAAGTCCTACACATCAGGCTTTAGGGTTTAGGGTTTAAGGTCCATGGTCAACCCCCTACACTCTAAACCCCTAACCTAAACCAACCCCCAAAAGGCAGGCTGACCCTGGTCCTCATTGCGACGTGGTTCCCATTCCCGATCTGGTTCATGCTGAGCCCAGAAGGCGCCTGCCAGTTGGCCAAGTTTAGGGTGTAGGATCATCCCAATATAACCCCGATATAACATAGTAGTTTCCATGTTCTTTTCCATTATCCCAGCCTTGTCCAGACAATGGCGCACCCACGTCACGGACATAGGAAAAGCTCGCGTTCTGACGACGACGGTTTCAAAAGTTTTTGGGCTATGGCTTTTTGGGCTTCCAAATTGCAGCAACAATTTGGAGTGTTGCTGTGTTGAAAGCAGCCAAGGTGCCGGCTGCCCAGAAGTCCTTAATTATTATTCATATTAGTTGTATATATTGTTAGTCTTATTAATACTATTCCCAAGCCTAAGCTGAGTTTGAAGGGTAGAGCGGCGCCTTTGAGGTAAGTCTGGGTTGTGTTAGAGATGTTTCCTAACACGGCTGCCAGGAGCAGAGGTTGATCTAGAGACTCTGTAATGCCTAGAGCAGGCATTTTACTCATGATCACTGTGACATCACGCTTGTTGCAGCACAGGGCATGAGACGTGCTTGTTACTGCCATGCGCCAGCACATGAGACCCCAAGACTCAGAAAAAGCTGGCATGCGAAAAGGCTTGGTTTTTAACCCTGCATCTACACCCAGCAACCCTTAACACCACCCATGCATCTCCATGCTGAAGCCGTAATTTGCAAGTCTTTGTTCAATATTACCCCAATATATCCCCGATATTAAGCCCTATAGAACCATGTAACATAGTAGTTTCCATTTTCTTTTCCATTGTCCCAGTATAACCCCTATATATTCCCTGTTATCATACAGTAGTTTCCATTTTATTCTCCATTATCCCCATACAACCCCAATATACTATAGTAGCTTCCATTTTCTTCTCCATTATCCCAATATAACCCTATTATACCCTAGGAGTTTCCATTTTATTTTCCATTATCCCAATATAGAAGCACATAACATAGTAGTTTCCATTTTCTTTTCCATTGTCCCTAGTTTCCAGTTTGTTTTCCATTATCCCAAATATTTGCTGCTGAGAGGCTTCAACCTGGTGGACGAGGAGTTGACCATCGAATTGGGTTGGGTGGTGCTAAACATGCTCCGTGGCCTGCAGTAGGGGGATTTAGGGTTTAGGGTTGGTGGGGGTGTAACGGTGCTGCGCTCCCCATGTATCCCCGCGATCCCAAGGCCCATATGAAAGGGGTCTGGTCTCAGGGGTCCCTATGATGGGATCATAACATACTGGGGTACATATTAGGGGTCCGCATGTTTATGGAGGCTACCGTGCGTGTAATGGGGTAACCTCTTCTTTCATAGAGGATGATCCTTGGACACTGTGCTCTAAGGTTGGCAAAGTTCTCGCTCATCATCCTCGGGCAGCGCATGTACCTCGGACTGCAGATCCAAGCTTGGCTGACTTAAGCCTGCCTACATCTTCGTACGCTTACAAACATCTTAGGGCTTCCTTTTATTTACAGCAGAGAGGCTGAAAACTCGATTTTTGGAGGGATCTATAGCCTGTTCCAACACCTGCGCACTACGGCGCTACTTTATGTACTATAGTCTAAACTCCTTAAAGGGTATTATATAGGCGATAATATGGGGGACTAGTATAGGGGTCATTAAGGGGGATACTAGGAGTTTAGACTATGGCTCACATGAGCTACTGTCAATATCAGGGTTACTGAGGGACCGCTAAGAGTGGACATAGGAGTCCATTTGGTAAACAGTACTAGTCCCTAATTTATTCCTCATAGGAAGCCATGCCCATTGACTACATAAGGAAATGTTGGCTGTAGCTCACATGTTGCCCAGCGATGCAGCTTCCGACGTCGGCAGAAAGAACGGTGCCAATGCAACTGATACACAGCTACAAGCAATAGCCAGTAAACCCACCGGACAGTACAGGCATGGGCTTGCAAAGTCATGGATACCTCACTACTCTCTGAACTCCACGCTCCTGCTAACGCGGAATCTGAAAAGAAAAAAAAAGTTCTTTGCCAGGACCCTCCTTGTACCCTTAATTGGGGATATATGGTCCCTAATTCAGGGTAGGAGGAGGGTCTAGGTGTAGACTAGCGTCTGTTTTGCTGGAGGCCTTGATGCAGCTTCATGTGTGGGAGAGTTGGCGCCCTGAAGGCTAAACCCTAGACCTTAGGAGGACCGCCCACCCTGTAATAGTGGTATAATAGGAATATAAGAGGACCCTAGTATAATCCCTATTATCCCCTATAGTCACTATTACTGGGTGGGGGGTCCACCTCACCTAGACCTTGTGTGTTGACACCCTAATCCTTACTCACCTATACCTCCCAAATACTTAGAATAATTGTCACTATGCCATTTATTTGGGGTAAAAGGCCATAATGAGGGGTATATGGGAGGTCTAAGGACATACCCTTTGTTTGGGGTAAATGGCTATAATTATGGCTGGCTATATGGGAGGTCTAGGTACACCCCACGCGGTACCTTCCCAAAAAATAGGGGACCCCAACATAGATCCCAAAACACGAGTCCCTATTATAGGGACCCCCAAGATGGTACCCCGAATTTTGGGAAATCCCTCTAAAACCCTAACCCCTGAACCCCATTTAAGTCTTATATACCCCTATAGAACTCATAACTTCCCAAAAGGGTGCCACGTACACCCTAGACCCGAAATCCTAAACCCTAAACCCTAAATCATCAGGAAGATGGTGCACCAGAAAAAGCTCGAAGCAGCACGCGAGCTTTATGGTCTTTCACCCTCGGACGAGGTGCCGGAAGACGCTTTGAACAAGATCCCTGGGACGCAATATGGTGGGGGCTTCAAATTCAAGATCTTGTGTTTGGGGTTCCACCTTTCAGCTTATACTTCATTATAGCTTTGGGGGGTCTAGAGTAGGGTCCTACCATGTACGAAAAAATACATGCCCGCATGCTGGTTTGTCATACTTCTAGGTCCTCTAGCAAAGGAGTGACACTACTAAGGTCCGGCAAGTGTATCGAGGCACTGCCGCATATAGCAGCATAGGGTATGGAATGTCGATGTCCTCAGTTGAGATACTGATTGGGCGCATGTTGTCAACATCAGAGGGTCAGCCTAGCTTGGGGTTTTGTGCTGCTCCACTTCTCAAGCCCGATATCTGTGTTTATCTGTGTTTGTTTTTTTCCGAGCGGTGGTTGTTTAGTGGATTTGCAGAGACCTCAGATGTCATCTGCCGTTTAGGGTGCCCACGCTCTTTGGTTCTGTTTTGCCACAGTGCAGCTGAAGTCCCTTCAACAGGTGGGCAGACAAATGGAACTGCCACTGGTATCATGCAACGGTCGCATGTTGGACTATATAGTTGAAGTGCCTTGCAGCGTGGCTCCAAGGACTCACCAGGTAGATTCCACGAATATGGGGACCCCAATATATGGACCTCCAAACCCTATGACTCCATGATCCTTGTAACATGGTACCACTCGTTCTGGGAAACTCACAACTATGAACCCTAAAGCCTAAAACCTGCATAGCCTGACATATCCCTCCAGAACCCCGATGTCCCCCTTCGAGGGTATCCGTGATTTTGGGAAACCTCCACTTCAACTTGAGGAAAGCCATCATCGAAGCAGGGGGCAACGCGCGAGGGCGGCTGAGTCCCGAGGACACTCGCCCCATAATGGCTACAGGGGTTACAAGACAACGGTGGAGACTAAAAATCTTGCATGACGCGAAGTGCCGCATGCTTTGGGAATAGTGGTGCTGTAATACAGTAAGGTAATGCAGGATTTTGAGTATCAACTGAATCTAGGGTTACCACACTTACAACACTTTAAATCCGGAGACAGAGCTACTGTAAGGTTCTGGACTTAGGGGTCTACTCTTTACCCTAAGGGTCCAAGTACCTAATATTCATATACTTACCCAAAACCTATACTATAATCATTATTACCCAAAACCCAAGTACCTAATTATTGGGTACTTAGACCCTCTGGGTTAGGGTAGTTTCGTGCGAGTCGAGCTCGAATGCTGTGCGAATATCTAAGGGATCATAAAAGCATCCTCCGCATTATATCCCACCCCCAGGGTTTGTAGCCCACCCCTGGGTTTAAGGAGCTAATACTACAGCCTAATAAGGTTCAAAACCCTGGGGAGTATTCTTGGGGGGGGGCTAGTAGACCTTTTCGTGAACAGGCAGGCACTTGTCTTAATCTGCCGCGGCATGCCCAAACTGATTTTGGGTGTCTCAAAACAGACTGCTGTTTAATGAGGTCATGTGAGGTCCCTTTATGAGAATCTTGCTTGCTTCTGAGGTTGAGCAACTTCTACCTTGTTTGGAGATGCAGTGTGGGGTTGGGGTTGCTACTGAGAATTACAGGCGTCCCCCAACAATTTTCAAGAGTTCTGACAGGCCAGCTACTGGTTCAGGCATTAAGCTTGGGCTGTCTTTTTCCCTAAATAATAGTTTCCATTTTCTTTTCCATTATCCGAATATACCCCCAATATGTCCCCTATTATAATATAGTCTAACCCCAATATAACGCCAGTATAACCCTAATATAAGAACCGTCTTCTGTTCATTATGAGGCAGCAGGTGCCCATTGCAATTTATTTGCACTATGCTCCCGGATAGGATGATTGTCTAAGCTACCTTGCAAAACCCACAGCTCATAGTTCAAGCTTCTACGTTCTGAGGGCGCTCTGGTAACTGGAATTTGGTGCTCCAGGATCATGTTGGTCCCTTTTGCAAGTCGGCAGAATGAAGAAAAGCGCAATCCGGCGTCAGCATTTTAGGAATCTGACCTGATTGTGTAAGAACTCCAAAGTCCTTATGTCACTGTATCGAACCTCAGACGTACCTCAACACACATTGACAATAGTTATTACTGTATCGGGGTTATATCGGGATATCATAGGGGTAATATAGGGTTATCTAGGGATAATGGAAAAGAAGATGGAAGCTACAAATTAGGGTTCAGGCTCTTCTACCTTTGCAGAAAGAGAGGCTCCTCTACCGAGCGGGGACACACATCATGCCCTAAACCCTGGGTACTGCCCCCACCCAGTAACAGTCTATATCAGGGGTCTTATTAAGGGCCATATATCACCATATTATAGTTATTATCCAACTATTACGGAGGGGGGGCAGTACCCTAAACCCTAAACCCCTAAACCCTAAACCCTAAACCTAAACCCTAAAACCGAGGAGTATGGCCTTGGTCTTGGAGAGGAGGCAGCATCGAGGCGGCACTCGAGCGAGTTTTCTATGATTTCTTCGTCTTACTTCACAAGTTGGTATATTTAGTATAAGTTTTTGGTATCTTTAGTATAACTATTTGGTATATCTAGTATAATTATTTGGTATCTGTGGTATAGTTATTTGGTATATTTGGCATAATTATTTGGTATTTTCAGTATAATTATTTACTACCCTCCCCTCACCCTTCCACCCAGCCCAAAGAGATCACAAGGAATGCTTAATGAGGGTAAGCATGATGCTACCCCAGAAGTAGCCCCCTGCTGTCCAGCTGCCCCGGGCAGAAATTTTGCTGGACTCCCGCATTCCAGGGCTCGGGTTCTGCGCCACTAATAGAGCTACAGTCTAAAACTCCTTTTAGGGCGTTATATAGGGTATTATATAGGGGAGCACTATAGGGGTAATTAAGGGGGATGCTAGGAGTCTAGACTATAGCGCAATTATCCAACAGAAGACGGACCCTGCATGTAAGCATCTGCCAGATACAGTAGCAACAGCAACCTTGCCTGACGTGAAAACTGTTTGAAGGATAAATGATGGCCCCACCTTTCAAGGCTATGGAGAGCAGAACTCCTCTGCACTTGCTTCACTGTGAAGTTTACAGGTGCCATCAACAGGTCCTTACTTTGAAGTGGCATAGGTTCCTCTTATAGCGAATCCCGCGAAAATTGCCAGAAGTAGAAAACTGAATCAAAAGAGCCCCCTACTGCCCCGACATCCGCAGTAAACCCTCAATCCATCTCAACCCTAAGCCTTGAATTGCTGAACGGCTTCTGATCTAAGACTGGAAGTATGGACCCTAAATGTGGGCCCGGTGTCTTGTTACGGCGTCCTTTTAGGTGGTTCTAGAAGTGGCTAGTAGATATATATATATATATAGTCCATGCTAGGCATGTAGGACACCAGGAATCTGTCCAGGGCTTCGGGTTTGGGGTTGAGGCTGATGGTTTTGACCTTACATTGCCGACTGTCTGCCCTATATGCCCTTACATACTCCTGTATTTCCCCTATAACCCCTTTGATGGTACCCCTGTTTTCACCTTACGTTGCTGACCGTCTGCTGAGGAGAGTGAGGAAAAGATGGTGGAGCTCGTAGCGGATACGACCCTCGGCCACAGATTTTTCCTCATAAGCAAGCCACACAACGGTGAAGGGTTTAGGGTTTAAAGCGAAGTTTAGCGTTTAGGGCATAAGGAGCAGATTGATTACCTCCCAAACCCCCCTTATCAAATGGCAGATGGATTGACTTTCAAGGGGAGCAGCTTTTCAACAAATCCCCTATCCACTCACCCCACCGCTAATTCTGGATGTTTCATGTCTTAGAATACTATGGGAGTACACTGGGAGTATTCATTCATAGGGGAGTGAGAGGGTTTATCACAGGACGCGCAAAAGCTACGAAGCTTAGATCGTAAAGTTGTGATCCCATGGAAGGACAAGCCCAACGAGAGGTATGAGTTGGGTTCGGCCCCATTAACAGCTGGATAAGAATTAGACTATAACTATATATAGCCCTTAAGTTAAGCCTTAAGATGACCTCTTTTATAGACTGTCAATGGGTGGGGGCAGGGCCTTGGGTATGAATGGTTGCATTGCTACCACGCTGAAGATGCGCAGCAAGCTATCCGTCGCCACAGACCAGGAGTTTGAAAAAGACCCAGGGCACGTTTAAAAGGGGGAATATAGGGGATATATAGGGATGTACAGGGTTACGGTTTAGGGTCTAGGGGTTTCCCAAAATTAGGGGTAAGAGGGCCAAACAATGGCACCCAACCTTCTGGGAACCCCTATAAACTCCTATAAACTCCTAGTATCCCCCTTAATAATCCCTAGAGTATGACCCCGAAACCGTATAATTAGTATATAATCCTCTAAATAATCCTTATAGCAATTCCCTATGTAACCCCCTTTAAGGAGTTTAGACTACGGCTCATCTGCTTTGGTTTCAAAAGGATGGTCACACTTCAGCTGCCGAACCATACCGACCGTTTGATCAAGCTTCTGGCCACCTGGCTGGATGGAGAAGTGGTAATGCAGAGGGTTCAGGGTTTAGGGTGCAATGATCCTTTAGGGGATCTTGTGGATTTTCTGCGTCAATGTGAGTGAGGCTAGTAACCTCGTCAAGCGGCGATCTTACTGGCAGGTCTTCCTTTTCACCATCTCGGGAAATTTGATGCGCATTTTTCCATATGGTCTTCTCTTGTCATGGCTTCTCATGCAACATCCTGCAGACAAGCATGGCGACTCATTCTTCTGCGCCTCACGCCTTGCAGATGACTGAAGGTTGAGAGCGGGGTCACCAACACGGCTGTCCTTGAAAGGCTGAATCAAGCCGCACGGCTGCCGTAGCGTGGGGGGGTGTATAGTCCCCCTTAAGTAGATAGAATATGATTTGGGTATACTATACTAAGACTCCATATATCCCATTTTCTATCTACTTGAGGGGGACTATAAAATTGTAAGCCAAGTCAGTAGTTTCTAAAGCCTTTTCAAACATCCCGGAGACCATCCTGATAGACAGTCAGCTTTTTGGCAGGGCCTAAACCCTAAAGTTGGTATCTGCTGATTTTCCTTACGCTGCTTTCATGCCTTGACTTCGTAGAGGCACTCTGCGCTTGGCCCATGTACCCAAAGAGGCCTTTGGGGGTTTTACGATGGTGATTATTACTGTTGTCATTATTACCATTGTTTCGATAAGCGTCATTACTATCATGAGTCTGATTCGTACGACTATTTTAGCAGGTATATTGTTGCCTTTATTTCTACTGTTATTTATTGTTGTTATCCAAGCTTAAGGCTTAGGATTTTGGGTTCAGCGTTGATAGCAGGCAAACGCGGCATTGCTTCTTTTTTTGTCCACCTGGGAAGCACACGGGTGGGGGTCTAATTATTGCCTCAGAAATTCCCTCATGTATGGTGCCGTCTTGAGAGCAGCATGACGCGTGGTCTGAAAGAGACAACTACCCATCTGCCGCGCAGCACGAACCCAAGAGCCGGGATCGGGCCAATGCTAACCATAAGCCCATATGAGCCGTAGTCTACACCCCTTAAAGGGGTTATACAGGGGATTACATAGGGGAGTCTTACAGGACCTCTGAAGGGGAATACTCGGAGTTTAGAATCTAGCTCATATAAAACTTGAGCCCAATGCTCGGAATGAAAGCTTAAGCTTCTCAGTCCAGATACATTCAACTGACGCGTTTGCTCGCACAGTGGCATATTGCCTTTTGGAGCTTCCAGCACGGTGGGAGGGAGGGAACAAGACTTGACCTTCGAGCACTGAGGCCCGGACACATGAGCAGTTGTCTAAACTCGCAGATCATGGACTAACATCTGAAGCAAGGCCAGGAGGTGCAAGGATTCACAAACTGTCCTGGACACGGAAGACGCCCTGCTTCATCCTGCGCCACGACCCACAACATCCAGAGTTTGAGGTTTAGGGTTGGGGGTTTTCCATGGGGTCGTCACATGCTTTCTTAATGCGATCGGCCCTCCTACCTCATACAGACTAGATGCCTCTAAAATTCAACAGGAAGGTTCTGTGTACATAGGACATAAATGTACAGGGCTCCACGCTGTGCTATGAGGGGAGTGCATGTGGCCGCGTTGACAGAATTCTCGCCTTTTGACATCAATTCCCTTCTTTCCCTAAACCCTAAAGCCTTTTTTTCCCAGGACCGTTGTATGGAGCTATGCCTCCCCTGGGCGACGCTTGGCCTTGTGATGATTGGGGGTGTCCAATACATGGGTGGCTAGGCTTTAGGGTTTAGGGACTATAGGTATCCCAAAAAAAGGGACCCCTGATGCATGGAATCCCCCCCAATTTATCCCAGAAATTGGGTTGGATTTGAAGCTCAGGGCGTAAGGAGCACCCCCACACCCTGAAGCTCATTTAGTTCTTGGGGTACCCAATCAAGGGCTTGGGGTTTAGGGCTTAGGGACGATGAGCCCTGGTGTCACGAAGGAAGTAAAAGACTCTGCGCAGCCTCTTATGGGCCACTTGCGAAGCATATTAGCCGTGTCCTGTAGCTGCTGAAGTGGCCAACTTTGTGATTCATAGTCATCCGGGTTTAGGGTTGAGAGCAGATGGCAATCAGGCTCGTGACAAAAAATCCGCTGTGCCTATGGCATCTCCTTTCGAATGCGCTGTGATGGGGGCCATCTTGCACAGCTCAAAGCCCAGTGGAATTAAACCCACACCAAGAGCCTTAGCCCCTGCTTGAGGCTTGTGGATGCGGTCCAGCGTCGATGGAAAACGGAAAAGATGAACATGGGATGCTCGGTCTGAGGTTTTGAGCTGCTGGCTGGGTCTGTGGGGCTTAGGCGATGGGATTCAAGCTTTAGGGTAGGATGTTGGCCTAGTAGAGCACGGAGGCTCACTGCTGATGGAGGTCTTCTGGGTAGGAGGATCTCCAAAGCAGACCTCTGAAACGAACATCAGGTATAATATACTATAGTAGTTTCCATTTCATTTTCCATTATCCCTATATTACCCCAACCCTAAACCCCTATATCACCCCTATAATTATAGTGAGAAGCCGTCCTTTTGTCCCTTGCTCAGTCCTGACCTCGCAGCAAGACCCCCAACACCCCCATCCCAAATGAGCTATAGTATCCCTTTTAATACGCTGGGGTTTAGGGTTTAGGGTTTATAGTGTTCCCCTATATAAACCCTATGTAACCCCCTATAAGGGGTTTAGACTACAGCTCAAATGCAGACCGGAACCCTGTGTTCACCCCTCAGCCCCAAAACACCTCCATCGACTTCTTCATCCCTTCAACCCGAACCCTTCGGCCCTCAACCTTCATCCAGTGATACTGAAAATTCTGCATGGCTGTACTATGCGATAGTACTAATAGTACCATAATTCCTGGGTCTGATGCACTTGAGATACATGCAAGATGTTTAGTATCAACCCTGTGAAGCACTATATAACCCTCGCTGCCATATAATTTCACATGTTCATGTCCCTTTGATTCTCCACTAATGGGGTAATAACCCCAGGGTCCCAGAAAGTTCATCCCTAGCCAAAGCCCTACACCCTAAATCCTAAACCCCAAACCCTAAACCCCAAATCCTAAACCTTTAAACAGTACTGGTTCTGGACCGGACATCATTTCCCGTGCCTGCACTGCTGTGCGATGCGCGTGTCTAAACCCCTAAACGCTAAACCTCTCTGCATCCCGAGGACAGGACCAGGGTGGACTGGTGGAGTCTTGCCTAAAAGAATAAAGCTTGTTGGTTATATAAGGGTTATATAGGGATAATGGAAAAAGAAATGGAAGCGACTATCATGGGTTTATATAGGTTTCGGAATGGCTTGTTTTAGCTTAGGGTTTAGGGCTTCGAGATTTTTAGGGTTTAGTGTCACAGTTCCGGTTTTCTTCCGAGAGGAGCTGCTTTGGGGAGGATATGGGGCCCGTGGGGAGCGTATAGGGGAAATAGTTTGGGGCTCAGAGTTTAGGATTTAGGGTTTAGGTGTAGGGTTTAGGGTATATGCAAAGAAAGAGTCTGAGGTTCGGGCGTAGGGATCTCTCAGATCGTACGGCTTTCCTCTTCCAAGGCCGAAGCAAAAGCACCCTGCTAATCTCCATCCCCTGTACGAACTGCTTTCCCCCTTTAAGTTGCCTTTTCGATACCTAAATATCTAACAATGCAACAATGGTGCAGGGGCGCATGTACCTTGTATACCGGTATGTGGGGGTTGAAAACGATTCCGCGATCCTTAACTACAGAGCATCCTACTTGAAGAGTCATGGAACTTAGTAATTAGCTTAATTTACTTATACCTGCGCTTATAACCCTATCTACAACTGGCGTAACTTACATAAGTCCATCTACGGGGGTTCTAAACAGAGTAATACACCCAACGATAAGCAATCATAATCTAAGTCTCATGAACCCTCAAGTAGAACAACCCTTGATTTTCCAGACAGCCAATGTAGCATTTTTACGTTTCGTGAGAAAAGTCCCGTTCGTGTGGTTTGCCAGAAACCGTGATTCTGACCAGAAACTCACATCTCCCTGCACTGGGGTAGCCTGAAAGACAATGTAGCCCCAAGCTTCACGATTTCAATTTGACGTTTAGAATGACATGAAGCCAGTGCACATCCCTGCATGAGGTTTAGGTTTGTTGAGTCGCCAGCCCAATGTTTGCGGCTCGTTTTTACACATCAGGGTCGCATGTAGTTAATTTATTCAACCCACCATAGAAAGGGACCCTCATGCAAGAGGCCACAGACCACACTCTTTGAATAACTTGCGTTGCTTCAAATTAACCAGCAGTTAAGCCATCCGCATGCAAGGAGAAGGAGGATCCCTTCATGAAGCCCAGCTGCATTTTTCTGTCGTCCTTACCAGGACCCCAACAGTACATAGGACAGAGGGCCCTTTGGATCATTTTCAGGGTTTTGGGCTGTTGATGTACTAATTCAGGAGGTCCAGGTTTTTTCTCATGCTGGACATGTCTCCGGCTAGGATGGGCAAGGAGTGCAACGTAAGAAGTTCATAAATGAGTAGTATTTTATTTGGGGATACTATGGAACCCACTATAGAGTAAGGTTCTATCCTCCTTTTGGGGTATAGTATTTTATTTAAGGAAGAAAATCATACTGGGTTTAACCACCAAAAAAAACACTACTCAAATAAGATCAGCTGCCTGGGTAGCTCCCTGGCCAGCAGGTTGGATGCTTGTGAAGCAAGCTTCTTGCTAAGCCTGCGGATCCTTTGTCCCAGAACAAAGCACGTCCACTCCACCACAACTGGATCAATGTTAGGGATCCTTTTTTTTTTGGGAGGGGGGGTATGGGATTCCTTATATTTCTGTAAAAAGGATCCTTTTTTCTCCCTAGAATAGCGTGGGCTAAGATTACATACTCCCCATGAGGATGTCGCCATCCGGGGGAGCAATATATGGGCGGCGGGAGAAGTTGTAATAAGGGCACGGGATTACTTTGAGGGACTTTGGAGTTAGGTAGCGTATTGTGTCCACTGAATAACACCCCAATCCTGTTTGAGAAGATTCTCTGACCCATGACTAGCCCCACGGCCCCACAAAGTATTGTTGCCGCCATGGACAGACTTTTGTTGCCCCCAGGAAAGTACTGGAGGCGAACAAGGAGCGAATCTCTTCAATGAATTCAAAGAGCCAGGCCAGATTGGCCTGCACATGGTCGATTGTTTAGGTGGAGTGGACCCCCCACCTGGTAATAGTGATAATAGGGGATAATGGGTATTCATATTAGGGTTATTCCTGGTATACCACTATTACAGGCGGGGGGGGGGTCCACCTCATTGATTGTACTGTTAGGTCAGGACCCAACGAGTGATAGTCGCGTTGAGAGATAATGGGAGTACTGTTAGGGTCCCTCCGTGCTCCTATTCTACCACTTCCTATGTGGGGGCGTAACCCCAGCTATACCTTGGTAGAGCGTGACCCAGCACATGCAACGTCAGAACTCACAAGCTCAGTGGTTGGCATCTGCACGGAGCTCTCTTGTCATTGCAGGTCCAAGCCGGCTGAAGTGCAACTTGCGTAGCATAACGTCGCTTCCTGCAGAGTACCACAGTCCAATATTCTTCTAAGTTGGCCCTGAAGGTCGCTGGCGTCATGACCCCTCCCGTAGGCGGGAAATGCAGTAGCTGCATGAAGCGCAATGAAGCAGCAGATATGCCATGCAAGGGTGGCCTGGAGTATGTTGTATGCTGCCCACGTAGCTTACCATCTCTTCCAGTCAGTTCTGCAGCGTAGAGTCAAGTCTTCCCACGGAACGCTGGTGGGAAGCACGCTTGTGGGGCACGGTTGGATTGGAGTGAGTATCGCTTGAGGTGGAGTCGTGGACCTTTCTTCTTTGGATGATCAGATCGCGCATGCCGTTGTGCGGGCAGTTGCTTCGCAGCAGCTCATGGACAGTGTTCAGGGCTCAAGGTTTTGATTGTTGTGGTGTGCTCTCACCACGACTCAGAGAGCCCTCTAGTGAAGTTAGCCCATGATTTAGAGGCACGATGAGAAGGATCTCTTCAGCAAGTGTGGCAGGGGTGGCAGCCTACTCGCTGGTTATTGTTGTTCCTTCGGTTTTAAGCAGAAATATCGGCGATTCACATACCCAATTCCACTGGCCTTCATATCGGCTGGCTTCACAGCTACTCACAATGCGGTAATGGCATGTGATGACAGTACTTGCTTTGCCTGAGGTTCATATTGGGTGCTTTCATTTGAGCGAGTTTGCTACAGCCTTTTTCTCGGTGCACACCGCTAAACCAACAGCTTCCCAACACGGCAGCTTCGAAGTTTCCACTGGAGAAATGTATGTACTACTCCATTAATAATGTGTAGTGATAATATTATGAAATTAATGGGAATAGTTATAAGTTGAAACCGTAGGCCCACCTTTGAGCAGTCTACTTTGTTCTAACTGTTTGCCTATGACTTTAGGTCAATGCAGACCAGTATCTGGGGTAACTAGGCCCATAACTAGGCTTAGAGTTCTTCATCTTCTGAAGGTGATGCCCTTGCATGAGACTGTGATGCTCCTGGGCTGGATGGTTTTTGCCAGAAAGTTAGTGGAGGATTGGGGTGAGGGTTTGGGGTAGGCGTGATTCCGGAGAATCAGCTAGATAATGGAACATGAAATGAGCTACTGTCTAAATAAACCTAAAGGGATTTATATACAGGATCATACAGGGGACCACCACGAGAGTTATAAAAGGGGATGCAACGGGTTTAGACTATGGCTCAAATGGAAACTGGGGCTGTATAGGGATTTATTGGAATCTTTGCGATTATTCTGGTACTGCTGGGTTGTGGAACATCACTTGTGCCCCCAATCATTCCAGTGCCAGGCATTCCCCACCCGCTTGGTTGGGCTTCTGTTGAAAAGGCGTTTGACTGTTGTTAGTACCCTAAACCCTAACCATTTTTTGTGGCGGACTTTGTCAGGTTTACCCTTTGGTAAGGGCACCATGAATCGATGCCCCCCAGCCTGGAACCCACTGCGAGCAGCAAGACTGCTTCTGCGGTTGGATACTAAAAGTCCGCATGACCCTATCGGGTTGTTCATAAGATAGCCTGAATCCTAATCCCATAGGTGTGCGAGACGATAAACAAGTCTGAAATGCCAAGCCGTGTGCTTGAATTTTGGGGAGTCTCTGAAGAATGGCTTAAGAGGAAGATTGGGCTTAATTAGGCTCAGGGCCTAAAGTTTAGGGCCTAAAGTTTGGGCAGATAGTGTTCCTGTACAGGAATTAAAGCCTTTGGCTTCTAAGTGGGTAAGCTAATGCAGCACAGCATGTGAGGGAACCGGAGGGTTGGCCTCGGCGGCTGCCTTCAGATCATTCAGGCTTCGGGGTTTGGGGCCTCGGGTCTACTTGTAACTCGTTTTATACCCCTACTTCAATCCCCCCAGCTAGACTTATGCAGGCTGCCCCAATTGTGAGTAGTGTCATAAGCCCTGTTATACGTATTTACCAAGTCCCATGGACCTTCAAGTAGAAACGGGTTTGGTACTACGGGGACTCCACTGGGTTACAAGAGAAAGATCTCAACATGATATTGGCAATAGTTCAGGCCCCCTGTAGTGTGTGAAGCATCACTGGTAACAGAAAGCTCGGCAGTCTTTCATACTGAGGTAGTCAGGACCCGACCAGGATGTGGAGCATTTGAAAAGCAGTAGAAACGCATCCAAGCTGCCAGGAGGGCTGAATTGGTGGATAGTTCTTCCTCATTGGATGCTTCTGAGGGAAGACCCCTTGCCCCCACTCCCAAAGCTCCTTCACCCTTGCAATCATCAGCCGACATGCCTTTAACCCCAAGCACTCAACCCTTGGCCTCGCATTGCGAGGTCAAAGCTTCAGACACTCCAGGACACTGCGAGCTGTTTGTCTCTGCTTCACGCAAAATCTCGCGTTCCAACTGTTCTACGCAACCCATTGGCTAGGAGCAGACATGCGCTATTGCTCTAGAGCTCCAGAGGCCTAGTCCTATGCGACTTGACCACCTTTCCCACAACACAGAATCTGCTGTAGACGCAGCATATCACTGCAAGCAGACGCACAAACGCCACGTGGGGACTGCGTGTATTGCAAGGGTAGCCTAGAAGCCTGAACTATTAGGAGATCATCCATTTGTAGTTGGTAAGCCTACTGTACTCATGTGTCATTGCCTCCTATACGCCAACCTATGGTTTTTGGGTGCAGGTGTTGTTGCTGTTGGGTTTATTGCAAAAACAGGAGGGGGGTGTCACTCCTTACATGCCCGAACTATTGTAATCCGTCGCGAAGGGTCACCCCAACATGGACCAGAATTGCAATGGGAACCCCAAGAATACAGTAGGAACATAGTAGGACAATTGCACCACTATTGCCCCCAATATAACCCGAATATACTATATACTAATGTCCATTTTCTTTACCATTATCACAATATTATCCCAATAGTTCCTACTCTAGCCTTGGGGTTCCCTGTTTGGGGTTCCCATTAACGTCCTTGTAATGGTTGAATGCAGGACAATGTCAGCCACTCGTTGGAGTCCACACAGGAGAGCGTAGCTCAACGCATGGACTTCGGACAGGCGCACTAAGAAATGCTCAGATGTGTGGGTTTCCTAAAATTACGGGTACCTTTTTGGGGGCCCCTATAATAAGGATCATAATATATTAGGGTCTATATTGGGGTCCCCTTATTTTGGGAAACTACCATGTCACGCCCTGGCAAGGTGGTGCTGCGGTGGAGGAAGAAATCCTGCACCACTTGGGAACCCCATAATGCTGTAATTCCCAGGGTGTAGGTACATGAGGTGGTGCAGGACAGGGCAGGATATCCTCCATGCACAACAGCGCCCCTATCCATGGTCCAGAGAGCCATTGAGTGCCGTCTTTCTTTGGGATGCACAGGGAAGAGGGTTAAAGGTGCTTTTTGACCTGCTTTGAAGTGCTTAGGTTCTCTCTGCTGAAGGATGACTTGGGCCTAAGGTTATTCAGAAACTCCCCAACCCCACGCCATACTTGGATGCGCAGGTGACTCTGATGCAGACTGTCAACGCGTGCCAGGCAAGAGGGCCAACGTTTAGCAGGTTGATCCGGACTAGATCCCTCAGTGCACCTGTATTCCGTGCATGTAATCCAGGATTCCTTATGGAACAGCCCACGAAGAACACTTGTTGCCACGAGGCTAAGCGACGGACTTAAGCGTGCACACATGTTCAGCGCTTGACGCCCTGTCTTTGGGAGGTGCTGCTGCACAAGCTGGACTCCGCGCAAGAGGTGGTGCTGCAAAAGCTGGATTCAAACAAGAAAGATCTCGAGCTCATGCGTGCCTCGTGCGAATCACATTAGTTTGGTACCTTTTTGGGCACAGGCCTTTGCAGTCAGGTTCCCTACAGCGATTAGATCCGAGCCCTGCGAATACCACCGTGCAATCTGTGGCCGAGGCACTTCATACGAGTCTCTGCAGGGCAGCATTGTTGGTGCCCAGGACCGTCTGCACAGTCAGTAGCTTAGGGGCCTGTGGGGTCTACACTGGCTCGCGATTAACAGACCTGCTAGCAAAGTTTTAAGTAGAAGACACACAAGCCTCAGATTGAATAGCGATAGCCGGGCGCCGTGATTTATGCTGTAGGCAGTCTTACTACGCGTAATCATGTAGGTGTGCCAGCCTTACATGTTGGACGCAGTACTGGGAGTAAAGAGGTAGTTGCTATGACTCGCAACTGCGTCAGACAGAAATGTGGCGCTTCTGATGATGATTGTGACTACTACTCTTGGGCGTATCTCTGCAACAGTAGATCAGGACTACGGCGCTAGCAAGCATGACTTCCGTCGCGCCACGTGTGCATGACTCCGGAACCTGTGAACAATGCTGTCCCCACATTAACATAGGCTATTACTTAGCAACCAGAACTCCGTTGACGCAGCATGGCCAAGCAGGAACATCGAGGTTGGGTCTGAGAAGCTGTAAGAGGAAGTATCGGTTAAGATGGTTTAGGGTCTGGGGTTAATACGGTTGGGCCCCCAGAAAGAAAGACACCTTTTTGAGAAAACCCCAACGGAGAGCAGGACAATACCAAAGCGGCTCTTGTAGAGACGGTCAGCACCTCCTCCAGCGCCTTGCTTCAGAAGCTGGACCCATGGCTGCAGATCGGCTTACACACTTTAGTAGTAGAAGCAAGTATAATATTAGCCATACTAATCATAGTAGCAATACTACTTGTAGTAGCACTACTTACCATCATATTGTTCTAGACTATAGTACTAATTCCCGAGGTATAAGGTACTCAGGGTCATGCAGGATTTTTAGCATCCACCGTAGTAATTCTAGGGCAGGTTCTGCAAAACCCTAGGAGCCCTCAGATGCCTGGGATGGGATGTACGGATGGCAGCTGTCAGCTCCCCATTTCTTGTCCCTTGGTGTAGGGTTTAGAGTTTAGGGGTTTAGGATTTAGGCGCCTTGTCCACAGCAATCTAGGGTTTTCAGGAGACCTCCTTGTTGATGCCTGTTTGCCCGGAATGTTGCTTGGTCCTTGCTTGGCCTTGATGTCCCGAAGCCGTTCCGCCAACATTACTGTCATCAGTCATGTCTTACAACCATGATTCTTATGGTCACCTACACTTGCTGTTTAAGTATTACAGTATTACTATTGCCTCCATGGTTCCAATGCAGCCCAGGACGCGACACAGCAGGACTTGCTGCGGCAGTCTACTGAGTCCCAGTCCATCTTACAGAATGTGGCATCTACGCAGAGGACGATGGTCACCAAGATGGAGTGCCTTGGCTTGGGGTTTCGGATGTGGGGTGTAAGATTTAGGGTTCACAGTGCAGGTAGTAATAATGAGCATGGCTGTCGGTGCACTGCGGTGTCCGTTGCCAGAAGTTATGCAAACACGTTATTCTTCGTGTTTGTTTAGAGGTGGGCTTTTCCGTAAGTGCTGGTCCATTTGGAGAGGTTCATGGCGATGAAGAAGTTAGATTTATTGGGGTGCCCCATAGATCCGACACAGTGAAACTCCTCTTTTCTCAAAAGCTGTTCAGCTGCCAACCAATATTCTAAATTTCCAATCTGACGTCAGGACTGGCAACGACACCACAGTTCGACGGTTGATGGAGATCGAGACCTCTCTGGAGAAGAAGATGTCTGAACTGGGAGAGACGGCACCCTTGTCTTATTAAGTGAGCTGTCTCATAAACTCTAAAGCAGTACCGTGTACAGTGCTACGCATGCAACGCACGGTCTAGCAGATGTTGCGAAGAGATTTGCGCATGAGATTCTTGCACCATGCTGTCGCGTTTATTCAGGTGACCTCTTCTTACACAGCAACTGGGCGGCATTGGTCTAAGTTAGCTTTAATGCAGATGCTGCCAGGAGAGAAGGTTAAGCCAACCTGCAGGGAAAGCAGCCAAGTAAAGCCAAACAGGCCTTAGCCATATAGTAGTTTCCATTTTCTTTTCCATTATCCCTATATAACCCCAACATTATACCCTATTATAACCCCTATATAACCCCTATAATCCCTATAGTTTCCATTTTCTTTTCCATTATCCCTATATAACCCCAACATATACCCCAATATATACCCCATTATACTATAGTAGTTTCCAGTAAGACGAGGGTTTGGACGATTGCTTCTGCTCGGCCATGTGTGCTATAGTCTAAACTCCTTCAAGGGGGGCTACATAGAGGATGATATAGGGTTTAGGTTTTAGGGTTTAGGGTTTAGGGTTTATAGTCTAAACTCCTTAAAGGGGGGGCTATATAGGGGAGGATATAGGGGGGTAGTATAGGGGTTATTAAGGGGGACACTAGGAGTTTAGACTATAGCTCATGTATTTCTGCGTAGCTTCGCGAGACGATGTGCAGTCTGGCTGCTTATTCCGGCGCCTGCTTTCTATGTCCCTTTTTGGATCCCTATTATAATACGGCCCCTAAAATTTAGGGTACCCCAAAAAAGGACCATAATTTTGACAACCACCCATATAAATTTCCTTCATGTGCTTGATCTAGCAGTGTTGTCGCATCAAGACCGCTTTCAAAGCATCGTTGGCTTCTCAAGCCCACCAGAAAAGCATCTGAGTTTCGCGCGTTCAGCAAGGAAAGTTAACTGTGCGAAGGCTCCCAAGAGAGAAGTACCATCAGCACAAAGAACAAGAAAACGCAAATACAGAGACACGTGAATGTGCATACACCTAAAATCAGCAAGGTTCAGCTTCTCAAGTTAATCCCTTGTGCAGTCCTAAGCAGCGACCCCTGTGTTCCTGTTGTATTTTCCCTGGAGATACAGACTTTAGGTCCCAATGTAGGTATTGTTTGTATACTTGCATCTGTAGGGCTTTGCGGGATTTGAGGTCAGTTCTGAGTCCGTGTTGACAACACTCAAAGATGAACTGGCAGCTCTGCATGACGTGAGCTTCCTGGCAGTGATTGGAAATGTGGACTTGAGATTCAGGAGCAGGTTTGAAATAAAAAAAAGATGTCGATGAAACTGCTACCTACCGAGCTTCTGCCGTGCTTGGAGCAGAGGACCTCTAAAATGTTACAGACGGCCAAGCACTTAGACTTGCTTGATCTCGAGCATGTTGAACATGCGGCCATGCATATTTCTAGTATTGGGGGTGAAGCTGTTGGTCCGCTACTGATATTCCGCCAGCTGGGTTTCCACACCTTGCGACGGTCCAAAATCTTGGCAGCTTGTTGCATTGGAATTCAAAATCCTGCTGCCAGCCTACACCCAAGGCAGCACCATGGTAGTCGCCACGGAGCGTTCCACATCCATCCTCGACGATGCTGGACAAGCAATGAGATTAACCCCACTCCTGCAATAAGAACCCTATAAGAGTCGGATGATAGTCAAAGGGTTCCCATTTCGAATCTCTTTTTGCGGTGACATGAGAAGTACTTCAAAAACGGGATACTATAGTCCGCCAAATGCAGTGTGATGATGTCCTCCCCCTTGGGCAAGTGTCCTAGAAGAAGAACATCATTTATTTAAGTCCAACCATCAACACAGCGAAACTCATATTGGGACGGGGGGGGGGTAGGTATATAGAGGTTTTCATAATCAGAAGAAGGGACAGTAGCCCTGAACCTTAAACCCTTAGCCCTTAACCCTAAACCCTAAACCTAAACCCTAAACTCTTAGCCCTGAACCCTAAGCCCAGTAAATCCCTAGTGCCCTTGTTTGGATACCGGAGCCCTGGAGCCGAGAGCTTAGGAGCGAATGACGGACGTCCGGCGCCAGCAGCTTTGCTTCAACAGCACATTACGAATTAGGGTTTAGGGTTTAGGGCTTAGGGTTAAAGAGTCCAACCCAAACCCACAATTAATAAATCCCCTCCCTTGATAGGGTTTAAAATAGGGATCCTAATAGGAAGGCCCATTAAAGGACGGGGTGTATTAATACTGGGTCTACATTAGGGTTAATTAGGGGTTAGGGTTTAGAGTCTACCTAGAAAGCCAGTAGCCCATAATTACAGTCTACTTTCCCCTAGTTTCCTACGACTTAGGGTAAAAACTGTAGCCCATTATCATGGACAACTAGGCTTTCTAGGTAGGGTTTAGGATTAGTGTTTGAGGTTTGGAGTTGAAAGGCCGAGGGTTGAGGGTTCGGGATTTAAGGATTGTTCAGCCTGGACCGTATGAATCCTTTGCAGGTCTTTGTGGGCACTGCACTACTGTTCGTACAGGGACTCAGATGGGTCCCTATAGTAAGGATTACAATATTTCTTGGGGGATACATGAGCTATAGTCTAAATCCTTTACAAGGGGGTTATATAGGGGAGCATGATAGGGGTTAGTCAGGGGATACTAGGAAATGAGAGTATAGATCATATAAGGTGGACCCGCCCACTTGCGAGATGCCCAGATTGCAACAGTGTACAGCCATGTAGCAAGGGACTTGGAAAGCGCCTCCGAGTCTACCAAGTGCCTCGTTTCAGGTTCCATGTTCCATGCTAGTTAAGCTTAAATCCCGAAACATAAACCCTAAACCCTAAGCCCTAAACCCTGAACCCGTAAACCCTAAACCCCTAAACCCTCAACCCCTAAGCCCTGAACCCCCACAAGGGTCCCAATACTTCGGCTAGGTGCATGAGCGGCGGGTCCCCTTAATGTAGACCCCAGGTGGACCTCCCACCCCGTAATAGTAGCTATAAGGGATAATAGGAATTATATTCGGGTCCTCTTAGATTCCTACTATACCACAATTACAGGGTGGGTCCTGATTAGTGCCGCCCACCCCCTAACAAAAAAGGGTCCCTCCAATTAAATTCAATAGAAGGGTGGGTGTCTGGATCTCAGAGGTCGTCAATTTAAATTCAAGAGGAAGGTGTCCTGAGCTCAGAATCTGTTTTGAGTTAAATTCAAAAGGAGGAGCCCTGCGGAGCTCAGTAGCTGTTCTAAAGTAGATTCATTTAAAAAGCAACGGCTGTTGCTTCTCTGGAACACCTCGGGGACCCGAAAAGTTCTGAGAATTGACTCCCCCCAAAGGTCCGCATTTTTGAGTACTCAAGCAGCTGCTGGACTATCCCCTTACAAAAATACCCTAAACCCTAAACCCTCGAACAAGCCACAGTTTTGGACCCGGCCTGAAACATAGCAAAACTCCTACGGCTGGACATCTTGAAGGGCTTGGTTTGAAATGGCGAGCCTTAAAAATGAAGGGCTTTTGTTTTTTTAATCCCTATAGGGGATCCTGAGGCAAGCAGTCTAACTTAACATTCAATTGAGAGCAGCTTAGATTAGGACAGTACGTGTTGTTGTATTATTCTTGGTGTATTTCATTTTTTAGGCCATGCCACTTCACAACTAAGGCCCCCTAAACGAATAAGGGGGCAAACAACTTCGTACAACTACGGCTCCCCACATTAGTCGATATCAAACATTAATAGGGACCCTAGTATTACGGCCCTTGAGGCTCTCAATCAGGGGCTTACATTATCCCATGCAAACCTACTCCCCACAACTTACCGGCATTTGTTGCTTGGCATGCAGGAACCTCATGATCATGGATCTCCTTACCAATGCCAACGACGGAATCCAGACCAATGCCGACAACCTCCAAGCAATGCGAGGCTGATTGTGTAGGAGAGAGTTTGCTGACTTCGTACTGGCAAGCTGCTAACAGAGAGCAGGAAGGTACATGCAACGGCATGTGGCACAAAGACTTTTAACGGACTTTTGGGGATTGTTATCATCCTTTTCTATAAATCACCCTCGGGCGCCCCTATGTGTGTACAGGATATATCAAGCTAACCATAGGTACGCAATTAACATCAAAATAGAGATCCTAAATCTGAGGATTTTCTCTAGCCACGGGAATTAGTAATACCCACTTTATAGTAACTTACCCAACATTAGTGGTCTCTGTCTGGAGTCAGGAGGGTGTGATGCACTCTAGCAGACTCCACAAGCTAGTGCTGTAACGCCAGTTTTCCGTATTCCAGTGGGCAGAGGAAAGAAGACTGCAGTCCAAAGCTGTTTGCCGGCCTAGTGTGGCGAGTTCAGGGCAGGTTGGCTTTCAAAACAAGCCTCTATTGGGATAATGGAAAAGAAAATGGAAACTAGTTTAATGGATTATATATAGGTTCCATATAACCCATTGGGGTAATATTAGGTTTATATAGGGTTAAACTTGAAATGGACAACAATATTATCACCAGAAAGCCAGCAATGACATATTCTTCGGAAGTTGTTCCTGATAGTTAATTAGTGCAGCTGCTGGCCCGCCGTCCGGCAGGACGCAGCTCCGGCAAGTGTACCTTTGGTCTGGGTGCACTTGAAAGCGCACCTGTCATCACCTGCTTCATGCTTGTGGAATCTCGTGTGAGCCATCACCTGCCGTGAAGCGAGCAAGCGGAGAACGGTGGTTTCCCAAAATAGGGGGACCCCAAAAAAGACCTTGTAATATATCATAATCCTTACTATAGGGGCCCCCACAAGGGTACCCCCGATTTGGGAAACCCTCACGCTGGCATGTGTGTGGCAGGTGGTGAACACACATTGAGACACAACGCCTTGCGTGACTTGGTGTGCTCCTGGGCCAATCGTGCTGGGCTTCGACCCGAGAAAGAGCGCCTGAACCTGCTTCTGCCCAGGCAGGCGCCGCCCCGCTGACATTTTTCTGCCCACCCTTGCCAGCTCTCCCGCTGCACTAGATTTTGCTGTTACAGCACCA